TAATCCGAGATGAGACATTAGTTTATGCAGCACTATGACACGTCCTGTCGTTTTATTAAATCGCTTGTTATTGAAACAGAACAAACCTTACAGTAAGTCTTTATCCTGTCTTCACCATAAGGTACTATGAGGCCAACTACCAATGAGGCCAGTGAGACACTGAACTGCAGTAGGAAAACAGGTTACACAGTGGGCAACTGATTGTAGTGAAAAGCCAAGAGTACAGGGATACTGGATTTGTTCAAATAGTGTATTGAAGTACAAGTGCAAGTATTTGAATGACAGATCTGGCCTGATAACAATACCAGCATAGATGTATCTGTAGTTACTGAATAACTAATTATTAATCAATAACTAAAAATACAAATTACAAAGTAATTAAGAGACCAAGATACATGGCATGTAAAAATATAAGCCACAAACCAAGGCTTTTTTTTAGTTTTACATTTGGTACACAGGCTCATGTTAAAAAACAGAGAGAGTTGTTAGCATCCAAGGGCAGTACATTAGCTGTGTCATGGTCGTGCAAACTTCCTTATTTAAAATGCCGTCATCAACTCTCTGTCTTCTAGTATTTTCCACCCAGGTTACTGGGCCAAAGTGAGGTGACAGAACACTTACACATGAGTCATGTTTTGGACAACACACCGGTCAGTTTGGGCGGAAAACAAAAACCAACATTTATCTTACATCTAATTTGTAAAACATTCTGTAAATAAGGAGTGACTAAAAGGACACAGCAGACTGCTCACTGGCACAGAGACAAAACCTGATCTCACTTTGACCTGTCAGATCATTTGTATTACAATGGAACAGCTCAAGAAAAATTAACTCCTCAGAAAGGAGGCTGATATTCACACTGCCCGGCAACACACGTAAAAAAAACACAGATCTGCTCTGGAATTTTTTACCCTTCATGTTCAGTTCCTGCATGTTTCTGTTGAAGAAACAATTTAATTATGAGAGAAGGGTCTAACTACCACCGTTGTGTGTGTGTGTGCGTGCATGCCCACGCACACACACAAATGAATTATTACGGTTAGTTAGTGAAAAACTCTGTCTCCTTTGTGTCAACAAGCTTTCTAGCTTGCAAGGGCTAATTAGCTCAGTAATTACTGTTAATTAGGCTCATAAATCATTAGAGCTGTCAAGTTGTTTCACTGCCTTTTGTATGTGTGTGTGTTTCTGTAGCATGTCCACCAATTCTTAGTGACTACATCTGAGGAAACCTAGCTACCGGCCAGGCACTTCCCTGTACCAGCAGATTTAAATAAAACAGGTTGTGATCAAAGCCAGACCAGATGGTAGAATATTTAACTTTCCAAAATTATCAAATACGTGGGCAATCTGTTTACTCTACAGCCCAGCGAGGCCTCAGTAGCCAGAACAACTGCCATGTATTTTGCCATATATTTTGCCATGAGGTGCATTGATTTAAAAGATGTGCCATTTTCCTATGTTATTGTAAATATATATACATAGATATAAAAAAAATGCATATGTATATATAGTATATATAAATATATATTTATACATATACAATGGCCTTCTCTTGCTGTGTTGAAATAAACTCAAGTTCAATTTGGATTTATTTCAAAAGCAAAAAAAAATCCCATACTTAAAGATTTGCCTGTAAGATTCTTTAACCTTGTTATCTAGTTAGTTAGCCGTGAATGACTAAAATACTGGAGCGCGTTTTTGGAATTGGAAGTTAAATTGTGAATTTTAGTTCTGACAGTTTAACAGTCAGTTTCAATGAGTTTTGATTTCTCGTACATGTTATATGAGCCGACGGGAGAAGCGGATGTTTATTCACAGTAGATCGGAGCTGAGTGGGTTTAATCACTTTCACTGTAATAAACCCTGTGGTACTGTATGGTAGCGGTTAAATATTCTGATGCTTCATTGAAACTGGCTACATTTACAATAGAATGTGTTTATGGTACAAGACAGGGGTGCAGTCAGAGGCACACATACCCTCCTGTTTTTCATTTAAAAGGTTTAAAAGCAGTAAAAGAGGGGCTTTTTTTTATTCACACAGCAGCTGCTGCAGCCAAAGTCTGACATTAGACTCCAAACATGCTCTCATTTATTTATAGCAAAGGGTTAACAATCAAAGTGTTTATAAGGACTACAAACCAGAGTTTTGCATCTGAGTAGGTCTGTTGATTAAACATATACTATATTCATTGAATGTAAAAATATTTGAATGTATTAAACTCACACGTGTTGGCCTTAAGGCTGACATGTCCAGACTACTAGTCACACGTAGAATTGATGAAAAGATTTATTTTTAAGAGTTTATAATTTGTAATGTTATGTTTGTTTGGTTATATTGTGTCAGCCATTTTCTAATAAACATGCTGGGTTTTTTTGACGCTGTCAGAAGTTATGAATTGACAATAACAGAGAAGATGCTAAAACAATCGTCTCATTGATGCTGTGAGCATATGCTCAAATATACAGTGTACAAGTACAATATTATGAACCATTCAACTTTGAATGAATTCACCAGTTTTCCATTGTCTGGGTATATTGTATTTCTTAACTAAATTCCTTAGTCCTTAATGCGCTGTAGACACAAGAACATACAGACACATATGGGAATGGCAAATGGTACCCAGTAAAACCAGTGCACGGAAATGAGCCCTAAATTTATTAACCCCCCCATCACCCAACCCCAGACCACAGCAGACTACTTTTAACAGAGCCAGAAAACTGAGGGCTATTGAAAACATTGGAGGAACTAATGGGCCGCCAGTTGGAGTAATTTGGACCCAATTTATTTTCTACGTGTTTATGGTGGTAACCACATACTCTCACTGCTCAGCAAGTGTGTGTTCATGAGTTCATTCGTGATGCTAACAGACAGGCCATCGTGATAATATGAAGAATGTGGCTTTCACTGTCAAAGATGGAGGCACTGATATGCAGAAGGAACAAGGAAAATGGTTGTGGAAAAGCACGGAGGCATGAAGGGGTAGGAGGGATGTAGGGAGGCAAGGAAACTAAGAAAAAAAATTCACTGTCTCAGGGATTTGCTACTTAGCTTCCACAGTTTGCAAAGATTCATGAAACTGGAGGCACAATGTTTAAATATTGCTCATGTCAACTTGCTCAACAAACATTTCTGATGCACTTTTAAAATGTTAACGCTGACAGATTAACTCCAGCTTCCTCCACCACACTAGAACATAAATGCAAGAATATTACACTAGCTTTGGTCTTATTTCAAGTAGTCACTAAAAATGTATGTGTAACGATCAAGTCATATTAACAACATTGTTTCTATTAATGTGGTTTGTTAATGTGGTATGATTTATGAAAAAATATAGAAAATATCTTCCCTGAAGAAAAGTACTACAGTACTTTGTTTTCTAGTCTACACACAACTGTTTTGCCATGCAGTCATTGTTAATTATAGGTCTTCACTTTTGTTTTTTAAATATTTTCTGTCTTAAATCACTGCTGAAGGATGTGAGTAAATGTAAGATTCTCCTCCTTCACCCTAAATTGGCTCATTCCAAGTATTTGCTCGCCCATACGTCATATTACTCACACAGTAGCATTACTGCCACCCTGTGGCAAAAATATATGTGACATTATGGTACATCGATGATAAGCTGTTTCTGCCATTTAACATAACGGACGGAAAGTGACACAAAAGCACCACTTTTCTTGAGCACTGCTTTTATCGACCTTTTAAGAAATAAATGGCAAAAGCAGGAAAACTATTTGTTTTTATTTTATTTTAAAAGCTATTAATTTTAGTGGGTTTTTTTCCCCACACACACTATGTTAATGTCCATTTTTATTAGGAAACTAAACTGTAATTGAGCTTATGTAACTGCAGATTAAACAAAATTTATAAACAAAAACAGAGAATTTCCCAAAGATATCGGGGAGAACCCCGACAATCCACCATTTTAACTCTGGCCCTGGCCTCTAAACACTCCATTTAGCACAGAGCTCTGCTGTTCCACCAAGAATTTGCAAACATAAACTTCAAGCAAACATCAATTTCAAGCAATGACAATGTATTGAAGAACCTTTCAATGTGACCTTGTAATATATATAACAAAAAACTATAGTCTTACCTGAATTGTAAAAGAATTCCGTGCTCCTGTGGTTCTGTACCATGTAAAGTTCTCCTGGTTCTTTGTTTGGTTTTAAAAGTCTCTGGTATTCCACTTTGTTTGGAATAAATTCATCACGTTGTTTTAAATAAAATCCGGTATTCGGTTATGTTCGGGTTTGACCATATATACATATGTATATATATATATATTGATTCACGTTGTTGGTCAGTGACACAAACAAACAAACAAAATGATGGACGGTGTCTTTTGTTTGACATTTTTATATCCGTAACTTTGGGAATTGCGAAGTATTTCCGTCAGTGTTGTAGCCTGCCATCGAACATGTCTTGTTAACTTGGTATTTCATCTTATTTTGTGAAAAAAAGGCTCCTCCACACATAAAAGTGGCTCGGAACAATCTGTTCCACCTGCACTGACGCTTTGTTTGAATCTGCAGCACCATGTCTGTCACACCTGATTCGCTATGTCGTGCGTTTTGCTGTTCGCTGATTGGTCGTGCACAGGCACGCGAGAGGACATGCGTGGGGATATAGCCAAGTATTAAAGGTTTAGGCCAATTCATGGTACTCTTGTCTCAAAGAGGCTAAAATTATCGAACGCACACCATACGTATTATACGTACACAATAGTTATCATACGCCTGACAACACTAAAAAAACCGACGGACTCACACAGAACAGTTGCAACTATTTTATGTTATTATTATACAATTATTTATTTTTGTTTATTGTTTACTTTTCGTGAGCGCCTCCCCTGGCCATGACCGCAGGTCCTCGAAGAGCTGCAGCAATTTTAATTATTAAAATAACACCATAATAGATATATTGCGTCGAAATTGTTTTTGCTGCATCTAAAATACATAACACAAAATTATGAATTGTTTTTTTAAAACCACTTCAAGGGTATTATATAAACTTTTATTACATCATGTTGAGAAATTTGCATTTGGAAACGAATGGTGGTAGCAGCACAAATAGCATCACAATTCAAATCTTTCTACTTTCAGTTTAATACCTTTTAAATTGGATGAATTCAAACCGATGATGAGTGGTTTATCTTACAAGACCGTGTGTGAAGGACAGTGAAATAATTCTAAATATGGCACCACAGTTTGGCTCATTATTCGAGCCTGTATGTACAATGAGCACTAGGGGGAAGCATAAACACACATAAGGCAAGGACAAGGTAACAAACAAAAGTCTTCTTTGCAGATAGTGTTACACGGGGCGTTTGGTCTGCAGACACAGAGTAGGAAGATCTTATTGCGAAACATGTCGTTTGTGAAGAGGTGACATGGGTTGAACAGCTAAAATGAAAATGTTAATGACTGTACACGACACTGACAAAGGTGTATTGAACCACTTACAATGCATCTTCTGGATTGCAAAAAAACAGCTTTTTGTAAATGCTTTTGTGCAGAATGAGGTGGTGCCGACTTATTTCATTTGCATATAGGTATTCATCGCTAAAAAAATGCAGGAACAGTGTATAAAAGCAGAAAGAAAAGGTACCGTTTAGAATACAAAAAGGAAAAAAGTCATAATTTCACTCATAAATATCATGCTAATATATATATATATACTGTACTGAAGCCCAAAACCTGGGTTGTCCTCTAAGATCTGTCCTCATCCTCCTCACTATTTAATGCCTTTTCACCCAAACCTCTGTGTTCAAATCTCTTATTAATACACACAACAGTAAACACAGTCAGATAAACTCAATAAATAATAAAATCTTATAGCAAAGTTAAGCATCATGTGAAAACTCATAACCTCAGTAATGTATGCTAAGGAGGACACATAGTTTGAAGGTGGTTAAAAGCTAATCATGGACTTTATGGGCCTTCTCTGTACAAACTGACATCTCCATGATCTAGCCTCCTCCGCAAACTGTAAACATCAAATTCTTCTCTCACATCATGGAATGCCAGTAGTTCTTTACCACCCCTTGTTCTCTAGTGGTTTAGACCAGTGAGTACAGAGTACAATCATGTCTGGTCAGCTACGTCTATTCCTCTAACCATAACTTCGATGTACTCTCTGACTTGTTCTGCTGCCGCACGCCTCGGTGTACCCAAGAAAACCACTGAGAGAGTATTCTGCGTAGTTGAGTTCATAATAGTACAATGCTGATCTACTCCACAGGCTGACATTTCTATTATATTACTACATACTCTTGAAGTATGGCTGGCAAACATACAGTATGTGCCCCAGGAGAACCACAGGAAGTTAATAAACGTATTTGTCTAAGGAGAAATGGTGGGTTTCAAAAATGTTTTTTTCCAGTTAGAGACCAATATTTCACGGTATATTCCAGTTCTCACATTTCTACATCGTTTGCAATGGTGCTTTTCAGAGGACAGCGGTGTTGACTTAAGCTGTAAAAAACACACTTATTTATGTGCAGTGAACCCACATTCCACATACAGTCAGTGTCAAAATGGAATAAAAGTGACCGTGAGTAGGTCTATATACACACATGTCTGCTTCATCTATGCTACTGACAGTACAGTGTAAAGGGATCGTGCAGAATCATATGGGCAGTAAGGCAGCACATGCAGGGGCCGATCAGCGGGACGAAGACTCAGGGACTACTCTGGATTATAGTGTGGGCCTCCGTAGATAACTATACACAATGGAGGAGGCGTAGAGTGTGAATGTGTGAGTGTAAAGGTGTACGTGGGAGTGTGTGTCAGAACACCATGAGTTCTCAGTCTTAGTCTCGTTCAGTCACTTGCCTCCTTTTTTTCCAGTATCAGTCCTTATTCTCATGCCTCAGTTGCTTTTCTTGACATCATTTCTCTCCCGCACTACGAGGTGTACGCGGGTTTTGTTTGCCATCGTGGGTCCGGCGGTTTCTGCCCTTCCTTATCTCCTGAAGATGCTTCCATTTCTTGTTAGCTGGGCGAGCAGGACCCACAGACAGGACGTCTTTTACCGGCGAGGTTTTGTCCACTTGTTCACTGCCGGCATTCTTTCGCGCCCAAACCTGCTCACAAATCTGGTCAACGGTGCTCAGGTTGGGATGGTCCACCAGCTGCATGAAGTCCCGGTACCAAAGCTTTTGGTTGGTCATTGATAACCCGCCCGCACTGCGGACTTGTGCATCTGAAGGTAGACTGGATCCTGAAGAGGACACTGAAGGTATCACTTCCAGGGTGATGCCCAACAAAGTTTGGGTGAAGCCGTACTCCATGGCATGACATTGGTAAACACCAACATCTCTCTTCAGGACTCTGCGGATCAGAAGCCCTCTCTCTGTCTGGAGGATGCGATCATCTAAACGTACCTGGAAGAACAGACGTAACATTAAATAACACAGAGAATTTAATGACAAACTTTCAACAACTGTTGCTGGTTGAGGGCAATGACAGTCGTACTTCTTTAAAAGCTTTAAAACCACAGATTCCATTTAAGATGTTTGCCAAACTTGTCCTGCATCATGTTCCACTCACCTCTTCTCTTGGGTTCTGTGGATGTTTCTGGAAAGTCCAAGTCACCTTGGCCTGAAGGGATTTGGGAATACACTCCAGGAAGGTACTGCTTCCCTCAACTCCATACAACTTCTTCTCTGCCACGCGATGCTTGTGGTGATCTGCAGGGGGCGACAGAGGCAAAGAAATCATGAGTTAGTGCTTTTCCTGTACAAACTCCCGTTTTCAGGAAGGTCAGTACACCTAAGTAAGGTTAAAACTTTCAATTGTAATTAGTTTATACACTCAACCCCTCATTCAGAAACAAAGAAAAGGCTTTGAGTGCAACTTAATTATGTTTCTTAAACAATTTAGTTTAAGTAGAGTCCTGCAACACTGGATAAAGTGTTAGGACGGAGTGACGTTTACGTCACATTTCTCACGTTAACTGCTTATTGGATAGCATGGTGAGGTGCTAAGAGCTGCAGTTGGTCACCCTTATCTGATTTAGAACTTCTGCATGTCGCAAACATTTTAATAGGAGGCAAATCCGGTCCGCAGGTCTGACAGCTAGACACGTGTGCATGCAGAAAATGTCACTAAAATCCAATAATATGCTTCAGTGGCATTAACAGGACGTTCAAATAAATCTTATAATGCAAATTAAAATAGAGATTTTATCTTTTCTAATACGTCCTGCTGTAACCAGGTGTGGCTTGTCTGTGTGAAGCTTTAAAAAGTTGAGATGAATACAAGTAAACAAACGTGACAAGACAGGACAGAACAGCCGTAAAATATACAACCCTGAGGTTTGGCTGATCAAAATAAGGCATAGGAAATAAAGTGGTGCAGCAAGATCGGAGGAGATTACACACTTGGTGATTCTTAATTCATTTAAATCACCAAATATTGGCTATTTTCCACAGTGTAAACATAGTTTAAATGCACTGACTTTGTGGTGTTAAATCTGTTATTTGATTAATGACGACCTTTGTGATGATACTGATGGGAATGTTTGATACACTCATCCGTAATGACTGCATCCTGTAGAACATGAGCCAGGATTTGTCAGAACATGTGGCGGATGATTCCAACATTTGTTCCTGTGTTTGATGAGTTATGTCAAACAGAGCCTCGTATTGAACTGACAGCAGTTTGTCACCAGAAAAAAAAATCAAAAAAACAACTGATCACTCATCAGGTGTGAAACAAAAACTGGATCACAATAATCACCTTCATAACGCTAATTACAGGGAAACAATGGAAGAAAAACAAATTCCTGATCAAAGCTCTGAGGCAATCCTGTGGAAATGTCTTTAACCTTCATTTATTTCACACCTCCAACTCTTGCACGCCACACTGTTTAATCGGATCACACGGAATCTGCTACAGAGCAACTAGTTAGGAAACAGTGATGTGGTTAGAAGTATAGTTAGCCACAAAAGGTCACTGCTGTGGTCAGTGCAGACCAGAGTTGAAGGAACGGAGGTTTTTTTTTAGGCTGTATGACACTGACATGTCAGATGTGGAGGGTCTTAGTGAGTCAGGGCTGCAACAGCAGTGTTGACGCTTTGTCCCTATTTCTCTGAACATACCTTTACTGCATGCAACAATGGTCAACCAGCAGCAGAGCTCAGACAGAGGAAAGATCAAAGAGTCCAGAGCTTTTATGGTCGTATTTGTAGACTAAGCAGTTGTCTAACAATAGACATGCTGATGAATATACGAGATTTGGAAAAGAAAACAAGTTTGTTTTGTTCCTGCATGAATGTATTTAACTGTTTCTTTCACACACAGGACTGCTGCTAAAGGAAAGCACTACGTATAATTTTAGACTTTTCACCGAATAAGTCCAGGTCTGAATATGTTACAGATTAAAATAATTAGTAATTTTAGAACACTTGGTAATGTCAGTAGATTTGTATCAGGAAGTTGTTGTTTTTTTTACTGCATGTGCTTCAGCTTTAGAAGGATTGCAGCTTGAGCTGGGATTTGAACCCTTTTCCCACTGATCTACAACCACCAGTGAATTGTATTACTGGAGACTGCAGAGTCCAAATCCAGCCCAGTGACACCTTATATTTCTTATAATTTTTATATCACTTCATATTTAGTAACTTTAAATCATCTAAGTCAGGTTTAGTGGGAGGTTAGAAATTTTCAAATTTTGAAGTTTCACCTTTTCAAAATTGTTGTACTTTAAGGGACAGAATACTACTTAGTATCAGTATACAAATGAAAGTACTTCTCACCTCCAGAACACAGAGTGTTGGGATCTCCATTTCTCACATCTTGCCGCCGGAAACGCCTGTGGAGTGGAGTTGTTACATAAATGTCATGTCATTACCAACCCCAGGATTACTGCTTAAATCATAACTTATGTCTGGTTTGGGCCTAAAATCACAAACCTCTTGGTGTTTGGCAGGTAGCGGGTGCAGGATGTTCCATCCCAGGCACAGTAAGGATCTCTGGCCAGGCAGCACTCAGCACAGGCCTTACCATAGGCACTGCAGCGGTGCAGGGGAACCTGGGCGATGCCCGTGTCAGAGCCCACGTACAGCTGCTGCTGTGAAGGGAGACATATTTAAAGACAGTCATGTGATATGTTTCTGGATGCTTCAGTAAACAAGAGTTTCTTTTCCACAAAATTCAGTAACTATTTATCCAGTTCAAGTTATAAGGACTTACCCGTTTTGAGGAGAGCTGCATGTTGTTGATAGATGAAGCATCCTTAAGAGAGAAGTAATTACAGTAATGTTATTTAACCTGGTCTCTACTACCAAAGATACAAATATTTAATTAATATATCGTGATATCTTTATCTGAAGAAAAAAACAAACAAACAAACAAAAAAAACAGGATAAAAAGTACATAACACTATTGTCGTACTTTGAAGACCTCCAGCTCCTCCAGTAGAAGTTCCTCCATATTGTTCCAGCTTTCCTTGGGAATATTGATCACCTTCAGTACCGTTCCTTTGTCTGGAACAGAAGACATTTATTTAAATTTTCTTTTTTTTCCCATGGTTTTGAATGTTTAATCGTAAAATCAGAGAGTAGCTCATTCACCTGTGCCAATAAACATGACGTCGTACTGTCCGTCAGCTGCGCCGACCCTGTCCACGGCGATCTGCGTGAAGCTGTAGTCCACGTTAGTTCTGACAAAGGTGGGCCGTCGGTTCATGGGGTACACGGGGTTGTACATGAGAGGGTGGTGACGGGCAAACTGGATGACATCATCCGGGAAACCTTTAGTGGATTCAAAGCTGCCGAAAGTCTTACTGGGACACTGAAGGAAAACAGTGTAAAAGTATATTGTTACTCACATATATGTATGTCATTTTATATGTATATAGTTAAAGCTAAAAGACATAAACATTACTCTAATTGGTGTTTTTTACTGTTATTGCCTTACCATTCCTGGGCGGGGATAGGGCACTTTTCCCTGGAAGGGGACCCACTGGTAGTTGGGCCCCTCTTTGTGAGCGAAGGGCCCCAGGAAGGCCCTCCGGATGTCATTCATGGAGTAGAGGCACACGGCTGAGCCTTTAAATACACTGCTGCTGGGCGACATGGGGAGCTGCGTTAATACAACTGAGCGCACACACACATGCACACACACGTGCACACACAACCACATACACAAACACGATGAATAGATTCTGACCTGGAAGTAGAGAAGACAGTGTAGACCAGAGGGTTTTTTCTGTCTCTCGTCTGCAACAGGAACACATCGCCTGGGGACAGACACACACACACACACACGTCAGGTGATGGTGCTCCAGAGGTCATAGATCATAAGAAAAAGATAAACAAAGCCCTTCAGCCTTGTCCAACCATTATAGACGTTTTTCTGATAACTAAGGGTAGTGATGTTAAATAAAATCCAAAATGAATTTAAATAAAGCATGTAAGAATTTAATATGGATTTTGATATACAACTTCTCACCTCCATGTCTAAACCCTACTGTATTGTTAATCCCTCCCCCATGTCCACCCCCTCAAACAAATTGCATGACAGAAAAAGTTTGTTCAATTTCACAGTATTTTGATTAAACAGAGCATCCAAGTGTCATATCTTAACCTCCCTGTAGGATATTGATGAAATCTCAAAGCCGGGTCAGCGCGGTGACCCTTCAGAAAAGCAGTGGTGCATGCTGGAGAATGGGAGGACCTCACAGCACCAAAGTTATTATGGCTAGAGCTGACTCAAGAAACCCTACAGAACCATGGTATTCTTCAATAGTCTATAAAATAAATTATATACTGAAAAAACTGCAACACCAACATTGGTAGCAGGAGTTAGCAGTAGAACTGTCCTCAGGTCAGGACAGAACACTACTGGATGAAACAGAAGACAAATGTAATGACCAGATGCTGCCTGAGGTCAGAAGGGAGTCAATGAGAGAGGGTTCCCATGTCTTAGTCCACCTTTTTCTATATCTCAAGATAATGTAGACTGGACCTCTGGTCATAATCAAACCTTGCTTCTGCATTCTGTCTAATAAAAACAATTTTGCTCTGCATCTTGTAGAACTTCACCAGAGACACGTCTGCAACTTCCTTTGAACCCTCTGCAAAGTTCTGGTTATGGCTTTGGATTAGGAAAAAAAAAAGGTTTCAAATGAATCAGTCACTCATGATTTCTTCAGGTCTGCAGGAATGATGGGCTGAATGGTACAATCTACAATTAAGGTCAAAATCCTGGATCCTATAGTTTGCCGTCCTCAGCATTCTTTGGATTTGCCTCTGTATAAACAACCAATAAAGCAAGGTTGGAAAATTGGCCCGGATTTTCCTCTCTTTGTTTCGGCCTTTCCAACCTCTGAAGAATTCCATAACAGTAATAACAGCTGAATAATTTTGGATTGGCTGAAACATGTTAGAAATCTAGAGCCGTTCTGCCGCAGCGTTATTTAAGATGATATGAAAGTTCTACCCCCACACGACCACATCAGTTGAGGTCTAAGTAAGGCCACTAATGGGCTACCTGACGCCAACGACAACTTCTGCTCATATTTCCAGCGGGGCCTCCGCTTCAGCGGTCCATGTTATTGCTGACCATTTATAGCTGGAGTCTTTTTAAACACAAATGACTTGTTACAGATGGTTATCACCATTATTCTCACCCACTGCACACTGAAACTTACGCAGTTCGTCGAAGTACGTGTCGCTGCCGTCGGCTCCTGGTACTGAGCAGATGAGACGGGTCTTCAGGAATGTTGTCCACTTGTTGACAAGACTGCGCTGACCCCCCATGTCATTCTGGTGGTGAGGGAAATTACAGTCAGTAGTCGATAAACAGAACATCATTCTGACTCTACAGAGTTCATGGAGTTTTTTTTTCTGGGTTATAGTTTTTAAATCAGTTTACAGTTGTGGCATGTTACATTATTATTTTAATGTTATCTTAAAATCCATCTTTTATAAACTTTACTCTGACACTTGGAATGCAATTTTGCGAAATCCCTTGAAACATGACAGGACTTGTATATAAAAGACAAGTTGAAGAACTCATTTGCGTCTGCATCCAAAAGTTTAAAGTAAAAACAGTGAGGGTAAAGAAGGCATGACTGTGTTAAAAAGGTGAAAAAGCCTTTTGGCCTTTGGAAAACTACAATACATAAGATTATACAGTAAAATCCAGGAAACAAATACCAGTAAAATTCATTATCTCAGTAACTGTGAAACTGTAAAATACAGTTTTAATATGACAAACCAAATTCAGGTCACTGTAAAAACAGAACAACAAATTGACTTAAAACAAGTCTAAAATCTATTTTTCTACACCAATGTATTGCTTATTATTAACATGTTAGCTAAAGAACTAGCTTGTTATGGTTCATTTGCCTGGAGGAGCTCTGTGTTTCTTTAATTTATTCATTTGTTTTCTTTTGTTTAATCCTTTGCAGGCTCCCACGGGAGACACTAATTGAGTGGTTTTGAACGGTCGACTCACACCGGAGTAGATGGAGAAAATCCACACTCACAGAGGAAAAAATGTCAACTCAATACAGAACAGAGCAAACCTTTTTACACATTATTTCATCGATGTCAACTCAATACAGAACGGCTGGGAATTGATCCAGCAAACCTTTTTACACATTATTTCATCAAAATCATTGACAAAGTCATTTCTCACCCGACACAGTTGTCCAATACGGGAGTATGTCGACTTTCCAAGTCCTTGGGCTTCGACTGCAGTCTCACGGAAGAAGAAAAACACCTTGTCGTCGTCTGGGTTTTCACTCTCTGGGACCCAGAAGGATCCAACAAACTTTGGCTCTGGTAATGAAAAGGAACAACAATGGTGTTTTATGGATTTTTTTTTCTCTATATGAAGTCAATAAAAAAGAGCTCATGCCTCCTCCTGTATGTCACACATGTAACCACATACCGTTGAGCCAACGTGAGTCATGCTGCTCAGTGCGGATGGAAGGTCGCTGCCCCAGGCTTCTGAAAATGGTGAAGTCACGGCCCATTAAGTCAGTAGCCACACCAGCGTAAAGCTCATCACCTGGGGGGCAGAGTGAATCAATAGCTGAGTGATTGTTCTAGAGAACTTTAACAATGACTGAGGCAGCACACAGGCGGTTTAGGTGTGAACTCCAAGGACACCCTAACGACCAATTTGAAGGAATAACTTTCAGCTGATGACAATATTGAATGGGCTTCAAGGCAAAGTGGTTCATTTACCGATGAGAACAGAGGCCGCATTGTGACGTGGATCGTATGGACTCTTCCCTTTGCCGTCTTCTACCTTCGAGGGGTCAATCCTGAAGACGTGGTCCTGAGAGACAAAGACAAGTCTTTTAAAGACTCATTGTTTCTGTTGTTGATCTGTACTTTGGACTCTTGGACCAATCCTCACCTCCATCCTGTTCCCGATCTCCACAAAAGCACAGGTGGGGTGGAAGGCTCCAGTGCCACAGGCGTACAGGTGAGTACGGTTGTAGTGGTGCACGATCTTCACATAGTTCACACAGTCAGACTGTAGAAAACAACAACACAGAGAAATGACGTCACGCTCTTCACAACCTGAGCACAAATCAAAGGTGACGTGTGAATTGTGACTATTTGATGAAAACCCCTTTGAGACGGATCACTGCTTTACAATGGGATACAGGATGTGGAGCCTGTAGCTACAGGTCTGCTGAAGGAGCGATCACAGAGAAAGAGTTCATCAACAAATGTGTTAATCCTGTGAGTAACGCCTGTGGAACTCCACGAGCTCAAACTGTCAGATGGAGCAGAGAGCAGACACAAGGAAACACTACTGCCCTCTGCCTGTCAATCATCACTGCCCTCCCTCAGCATGTGCAGGCATCGATCCTTCTCACATGTTGGTACACTCTGACTCTTCTGTTTCTTTAGAATAAAGGTTATTGGCCCCATTCCATACATTCTTGACCAATGAATCTGAGCTGCTGGAGTGGCATATAAAAAAGAGACTGTGTTTTCCAAAAGATAACGCTAATACCTCTGAAAAGTGTTGGCATGTCAGCACATGGCTGGGCACAACGCCATAAAGTAGCCATTAAACCGGGCTGACCAAATGAAAGACCACATTCCAAGACCACAATCAGATAAGTGTAATGAAAACTGCAGGGTTTTTTTTTTCTTTCGTTGTGACGTTATAAGAAAAGAAAACTTTCAGAAATGCATTTCCAAAAATGTACTTGTAATAGCAAGGCTTTAATATTAAAAGAAAAATACTAGAAAAAAAAGATTTTTTTTGCACCAGCAAAAAAAAAAAAAAACAACCATATGTATGTGTGTGTCATCAAAAGGTTTTTTGAACATTAGGAAGTGAAATGTTATGGGGAAAAGTAAGTAAACTTTATTGCTGTAGCCTTCGAACACATGAAACCATAAAATTTTCCACACGTTGTTTTTTCAGCCTTTCATATATTACAATAATATATGAGAATATTTTTTTCCTATATTAGTTTTTTCTGTGTTGTTGAGTAAAAGTAGTAACCAGTTAAAACTGCACTTGCTGTCACTAAATGACCTCAACTCCATTTTACCGGTATCTCACTTTATATTTTTCCATCCTGGTCCAAACTCGACAGCTGGTTATGCCTCCTTCACACACGCGCACACTCATCTGTCCATCTGAGATCTGGTTACTCCAGTCTGTCTCTGAGGGGATTTACTGCTCACCGTCAGGCAGGATGATCCTCGCCTCTTCTCTAATCACAGACATGATCTTAAACAAAGGTTCATAATCCCACAAGGTCCAGGAATTTAAATGAAGCGATTATCACTGTGATTATCTTTAATTATTGTCTTAGGGCATCATAACTAGAATTCCATTTTGGTTGTAGAATCTTGATGTCTCTATTCACTGTTGTAAACTCACACTCTAACTTTCTGGTTAATGCCTCCCCCGACGCTGCAGTGCCATCTGTTTGGAGATCAGGTTTTTCAATGCATCTCTATTCATAGGGTCATCTACAGGCAAACTGTCCATTAGTTAGAGACGGAACGTGTGCAAACGTCAGTACAACGGGAAATAAATAAATCATTCCATCCTGCTGATTCTCTTGGCAGGATTATCCTAAAGATTGATCCTTGAATTTAATTTCTATTTGATCTGATTATTATTGGTTGATGATGTGTTAATGTTCAACAAATAAACAGTGAGTGTTAAAATATTTTGGGCTATAACATTTTAGAATTTATTTTTCAGTATTCCTATATATGTTGTCCACACATGTCCATCCTCCTCGGCCTATCCTGACTCTGAGTGATAGACAGAAAGACCAGGTTATGAAAACAGAGACGCAGGAGGACCTACGTCTCATGTGTCCTGGAGTAGAAAGATACACACCACGTTCTGTGGTTTAAAACAAAGACTTGCTTTTTTGGCAGTTACTGGAGGCGTGTGTGCGCCTGTACATTAAAAAAGGTGTTGAACCAATCAATGGGCTGATTAAGCCATCGACACACAGGAAACCTCTGTTTCCTTCCAAAAAAGGGGGAGGCCGGCCCTCACCTCAGTCCCACTCTGGTTCTGATAAATCACACCCTTGCCCATTTTCCATCTGTCTATTTTCAAGATTCCCGCTGAGTCCACCTCCTTCTCCTTAGGTGTGTGTGTGTGTATGTGTGTCAGAGGTCAAGGAAAGGTGAGAAAGTCACCAACGCAGTGGTTGGACCAAAAGGAAAAACTCAGCAGGAGGAGAAGAAAACGTACAAAGAGCAAAGATGCTTGAGAGGACTTGAAAAGATCACAGACCAAAGAACGAGTGAATTATGCCAAAGGATACATTTACTTGGTGTGTGTGTGTTTGTGTGCTTTGTGCGTGTATGTTTGTGTGAGTGGCGGGGGTGAGGTTTTTAAGGGTTGACTGGTCGACCTTTGACCTGCTACTGCTTCATTAGTAGAAAAAGTGAGCAAAAACATAGGCGTTGACCTCACGGTGGCCACAGCTTTTAGCCCTGTTCTTATAAAAGCTCCATTGTTTCACAGGGAGTTTCCTTTTTTCACTTCTGTCTTTCATTCTAGAGATGATTAACCTGATCTACCTATTTATTATTTCAGTCTTTGTCTGTCCTTCTGCCGCTCACGCTCTTCGTCTTTGTCCATCTGCCCAGTATGAATTAGCTTTAAGTGCAATACACTAACTATTGGTATCATGGTATTCAGATTGACCTGGATTTTAATACATTATCAACAAGTGTACATTATTTCCTTCTTGTAGTATTTTAAAACTCCATATATGTTGCCTACAGGTATAATTCCAGTGGTTTGAATAGAAACTACTTTCTTTTGTGTTTTCTCTGTGAACAAAGTCTGAGATTTTGAGCAAACCCCGGCTCCTTAATAAAGTTAATGGATGAGAGCCTTCAACTGAACAAACAGAACTACGAACCACTGTGCACAGTAGACAACCATCAGATACACAACATGTGCTCGTTATAAGAGCGCAAGAATGTCTTTGGTCTGGTCTCAAACAGGATGATGGAACAGCTTTGATATTTTCCCCGAAAACACAGAATCCTTGATTCTTCTTGACTCGACTGTAACAGTCGTTACCATCAGTGTACAACGAGGCAGGAGAAGTTTAACATCAGATTTTCGTCAGAATTACTAAGATGTACAACGTGGTACTGTTGGTCCAGTGATGTCATACAGTTAATGAAGTTCATGGAGGACCTGATGCCAGTGGTCACTGCCATCCTGTAGGACGGTAAAACTGTCAGTTACATACAGCGTCCTCTGGTGTTTGCTTGCAAATTTTGCTCAAATCACATACTTTCTTCCTCAATACAGGATCATAGTTGTGCAGTACTGCGGATTTATACTGAAAGGTAAAGTATAAATTAAGAACACGAAATCTTCAATACATTTAACAAAAAGCTTAAATTCACTAGTACCTATTTATAAGCTAACCTTTATTGAATGTTTACCTGAATAAAGCTACAGTTAGGCTTCAAAGACAGCTCAAAAGTAACTAAATCATGCTAACTCCAGCTCCAGCTAAAGTTGTCTTACATTTTAAAATTGTATCCATCACTGTGTGATTCTGAATTCATTCAGTACCTGTATTTAACCTGTGATAATCCCTACGCTGGTCCAAGGTTAGTGTAAACCTGACCACAAGACCACAATCCATCATTTCCGTCGGTTTGACCGTGGCTCCAGCTGTGAGCTGACGCCTTCATTACATCACTGAGTCAGACTGATTGTCTGCTTGAATTCTCCCATGTTTACCTTCTCTGTCTGACACTGTTTATGCACAAGTGTCTGTATTTGTGTTTGTATGTCTGAATACATGTTAGGTGGATTTCCTGTGGACTTCTAGTGTGTGTGCGTGTGTGTAAGAATAATGAGCTGTTTGCAAACTGCTGGGCTTGGTGCACGCATCAAGACCATGCATACATAACAATTTCCTCTTTGTCAGTGTTCTACCGTGTAATAAGGAGGACATCTGTGACTATTGTGTTCATTACAGCCTGATGGAAAAAACAAATCTGCAGAAATTGCCACTTGTAGCTGAGGTTGTTTAATCAGAGTGACACAACTAGAAACCCTGATAAATATCATTAAAACCTCCAGTGTTTGCTGAGCCCTGGACATTTTAACAGCCAAGGCCGTTTTAATGAAACGGTCCTTTTCGGAGTCTCCCCGTCGAGTGTAAACAAAGATGGATGGAATTCAGGAAATAAAGGTCTAGTGTTTAACAAAAGCAGTGGGGGTTTGTTTGAAGCAGCTGTTCTGTTTCACTGACACTGCAATTCCTGCAACAGACAACAACCATGACAATATAGTATGAAGTATAAATAAATGTGTAGAATCAGTGCAATTTACAAAAAAAGGAAAATACTGAAATCGGAAACATGGATAACTATCAGTATCAGTCATTTGAGTAAGGTGGCTCAATCTGGGGTCGGAGACTGCACAGCTTTTGGCCTGACTCAACAGGGTTGTACATAGTCCAAAAAAATGAACATGCATTTTGTTGCCAACTGCTAACCGATGAAAAGAAGAAAACGTGAAAGGGTCTGGAGCTGATCGGTCTGAGTTGGTGACACACATGTAAAATTAAGAGACTTTTGTACACGATTAAAAAAATGTCAAATATAAGTTTGATGTTTTAGTTTTGGTGTCGAAGGTCAAGGTCGAAAAAGGTCAACCGTACAGGAGTTTAAAGAATGTAAAGGAAACAGAAATGGAGAAAGATACGATCAAAATAACGAACATATTCTTTAGAAGTAAAAATAAATGGATTCATATGTTAAAGACTGCGCCAAGACTGAAAGACTGAAAGAAAGACACATTCTGTGATTAGGGTCAGATAAATATGAGGTCATCTCATCCTTATGTTTGTGTGTGTGTGTGTGTGTGTGTGTGTGTGTGTGTGGGTCAGTTCACCCTGAAAATACAACTGTGAAAGAATAGAATGGGAGTGAAGGTCTAACAAAGAATACAATAATAATGTTTCAATGGTCAGAATGGCAGCCAAGAACAGAGAAGGGGAAAAACATCTTTCAATGTTACATTGTCTTCAATTCTCTCTCACGTCCTGTTTTATTGTCTTAACTCAGTCTTTGAAACAGGAGTTTTTATCCTCTGGAGGAAAATACACTCATGACTATTCACTGTTAGCTTTGTTATCGACCACTAATCTGTCTGTTTGACACACACACACATGTGGACAGACTCCTGGTCAGGTGAAACTGGAGCCTGGCACATATGAATGGAGCCTGTTGTCTGGCTGCTACAGCTGTGTAATCACACTGCTGAAGGACATGGTTTTACACATACACACACAGAGTGTAGAGTACACGGTACCTTAAAGATGTGTAGACATACATTACGTCAACCGTATTAACTTCAATAATAAACTATTTTACACGAAAAAAAATCACACACACAGGGTGGTGTGTAACGTTGGCTAACTGTGTGTGACACAGTCCTGGGTGGTCCACGGGCTCTTTGAAGGTTGGACACATTGGTTGGTGAAGCCGCGCCTGCTCTGCCTACGCTGCACCCACACGCAGAACATTACATTTAGAAACATAATCAGCACGTGCACTGTTTGTCCGGAATATTCTTAGAAAGTCAGTGTTTCCCTTATGCTGATCGAAATAGAACACACACATGTTTTCCCATCTTTTCTGGCAGCAGGTACAAAGGAGCGTGTGCAGAAGGAGGTTGGCACATGTTGGTCCCGTCGTGGGAATATTACGGTCTGTCAAAGAATCACTGCTACATCCCTGTTAGCTGCAGCCGCGTGTTCTGTTAGTCAGGTCACTTCACACGATAAAACCAGAGCTGTTCATTCATTCAATTATTAACATTTAAATCAACTGTTTTTGTTTTTTCTTTAAAAACTTGTTCTAGAAAAAATACTTTTTAATGATATAATAAACGTAATAATTGTCAAACAATTATGCAATTTTAACGATTAACCACAGTGTAGTTCTGGATTAATCACGATTAATCATTATTATTCATTATCGCAATCAATCATGATTCTTCACGATTCTTTCAAATGTATTTCTTTGTATTTATGGAACAGGAAAACAAACAAACAAAAACGACAGGTAAATGCCTGTGTTTCACTGCTGTTTCTATTTGGGACTAATGCAAATGATGGAATTCTTAGTATGGAACAACGTCACCATAAATAGGGAAAGTTGAAGTAAAAGCCCCACAGACACATGAGGGCACTGAGCTGTATTATTTAAGCGAAGGTGATTTGGTGAAATTAAATTATTCCAGCAGTGTGTGTAAATAACAAACTGTGTTGATTGAATATTATAGTGCCACATGGTTACATGTATTTAATCAGTACCCAAACATATAAAGTATATATCTGTATATAAGCGGCACTGTGCTACATGTACAAAGTTTACGGTTACACTGATACATCTAGGGATTCTATTCTGTTTCAGTGATGAATTTATTAGGTACCGTACAGTTTAGTATCTAAACTACTCTAGTCACAAATGCTATTTACATCCCACTTAAAAACGGATTTCCCTGTACAAAACCGCTGGCCTTACATCAGTGGTAAACTGACAAAAACCGAGGCCTTTGTGTGAGCATCAAACTGATCCCAGCTCAGTCACTGAGGACTTAAAACAAACAGTTGCAGAGGAGGTGATCTCACCAGGGCAGGTCCAGGGGTGGGAGTGTTGCACCTACTATTACGTGTTTAAACGTGGTATTTGTGTCTTGTAATGACTCCCATGACTCCAGTGGATTAATAGGTACCATTGTGTTGGCCTGAGAAGGAGCGGACACTTTGCTTCCTCCACGAGGAGCTCCTCAGTCCTCCTCTCTCAGTGTGTACTGTCTATGATGTCCGGAGGCTACTCTTCTTCTTCTTCTTCGTCTTCCTGTTTTTCCTCAGTGCACAGTGATACCTATATAATTCATTTTTATGTGAGAGAGACTTCTGGGTGATTATATGATGTCGTTGTTTTCATTTAACAAGATGAAACCCAACGCGACCATCTCACGATGGTCATGATGCTGTTGGGACATGTCCCTGGGACAACAGCACTGTCACTCAGACCTGCTCCAGTCCCACCCTCTCTGTCCTAACATGACATCCGCCACAAATAAAACTGGCTGGAATTCAGATAAAAAAAAATAAAATAAAACTTACAGTGATGTCCTTTCCAGCCCAGTTACACTCCTCTCTCCAGTCCACAGGAGCTGGCCAGTAGATCTGAAATGAACCATCAGGTCGTCACATTCTCTTGCTAAAATAAATTTTATAAAAATTTCACAATTGAAACATATATTTTCTTGAACGAACAGCTTCTGGTCAAAGACAAAAAATAAATAAATTTTTTTTTTGTTAGAGAATTCTAGTTCACTACTTTCATTGGCTTTATTAGCCAGACTTCATTATCCAGTTTCTCCCACACCGGTATGAATTTTCAAAGATGGATCACATTTTCAGACATAATAAAATGGAGGTTTATTCCTCCCGTCCCTCGGCCTCCTGAACAGAGCGTGTGTTTCTCTTCCTCCCTCACTCTTTTGTTTTTCCGCTTTGTCCGCCTTGACATCCCCTCCTCACCCACTTCACTGAGAATTGAAAACACTGTGGTGACGCTGAACATCATCCGCTCATAAATCAAATTCCAGCACAGCGCTAAAACTAACACAGGTTTCACCTCCACCACACCAAAGGTGTAATTTCCTCCCAGCAGCTGTGGACAGATGTTTACAGTACTGTGCACATGTGGCTGTGGGGAGCAGAGTGTCTCTGTGGACATACTGTAGGTGGTGTGTTATTCTATACAGGTCTCATACACTGTGAATAGGTGTCAAACCAATTCACCCCTTGAACTAAATTAACCCCATTGTTTCACACCGGGTGTAGGCGTGGATCGTCCTGGTTCTTGTTGAGGTACAGAGGTGGTGTCAAGGCCGTCGATCTACTACTGCTCTACTCTGGTGAAGGACGCAGGGGGAGTTGGAGTCCACACCCGCTGATGCCAGGGAAAAACCTGGCTCCTGCCCTGGACAGGTCACCAGTGTTGAGGTGAAGGGTAATGGCCGACCCGCGTCCCTTATATTAGTTTTTTAAGGTCACCTTTTAAACAGAGTAGTGAGATCCATCACATGGGCGTGCCAACAATAGCTTTGCTTACAACAACAAAACTTTTGTGTCAATAATGAGTGACATAGACATCACTTTCCATCCTATTTAGTAGTAACACATTCCTGTGAATTCCTACATTTTTAAGGGACAAGAAGACTGACTAATAATAGGACATGGCACTGACTAATTAGCACTCCAAATTATGACACAGTGCACTATTGTAGATTTAAACTAATATTGTATCATTTTTGGTTACAAGACTTAAAACATAAGGTTTGCACTAAGACCTCAGTGCAGTACAGGGATTCACCACAGGTACAGTATCCTAAAACTTGACTCCAACTTTAACTCCAACTACAAAGAGCCAGGCTTCAGAGTGAATGTTTTATGTAGATTTCAATCACTGCACCATGAAGATAAACGTTCTCTTTTCATCTCTGTCCTCTGCTTTGATTTTTTTTTCTACCTGTTTCTATTAATCCCACATTTTGTCCTCCGCCCCTAACACATGTGAGACCAGTTGCTTGAACAGTCACACATGTGAGGGCCTATGATTCAGGCATGTTCAAAGGGAATAAAATGCACCCGTACTTTAAAATATGACTCTGCCTGCGTCACATCGCAGGTCAAAAGAAGAACACACGTTGGAGACGCATTTTACAGATCACCAGGGTGTGATGTTGATGATGTGTGTGTGTGTGTGTGTGTGTGTGTGATGCACCTTGTGCTCCTGCTTGGCTATGTTGTCCAGTGACAAAGACAGCAGGAAGTTCTTGGCCCCCACAAAGAGTCTTCCTCGTTCTTCGTCCAGCAGCATGGCAGTGAAGCAGCAGGAGCGCTCCAGCTCGAATCTGCGCACTCCATGGAACTGCTGCAGGTCTGGAAAGACATCCATCAATACAATAATTAAAAATTAGAAAAAATAAGCCGGTGGATATGTGGAGTACTGCAGTACTGTGTTGTATCATCTGACTGAAGGGTGACATTTCATTCTTTTTATTGGAAAGACAGCTAGAACAAACCCATAGAAAACTGTGCCAAAGCAAATGCAGCATGTATTTGTAAATGGATGACACAATTGTTAAGACAAATTGTTCTCTTTCCTAAAAGCTGCAGAAATAAAGAAACTGCACCCTTTCCTGCTGGTTTGGCTTGAACTCAGTGCAGAAATGACCCAGACCATGGCTGCTGACATGACTTTATTAGCCTTCCATTGTTTTTAATGTGAATTTATAACTTTAATTAAAGTTCAGACACCACCCAGAAGCCGCCTGTATGACATCAGGGACGTTAGGTTGACTTGTGGTTTATAGAAAAGTGGCTGTGACATCAAACATACACTGCAGTACAAATGACACGTGCTTACAGCTGACATTTCACCGTTCCACAGTGACATTTGACATTTGAAGTGTTTAGACAGCAGTTTTGGTTGAAAAGGTTTCATCTCTCGTCCATGAAACATCCTTCCTTCAAAGGTTAAAAAAAACACAACTTTGAGGCGTGTCCACTGGTGTGTGTTCTGACAACACACTCTAATGTATGTGGGACACTAATGTCACTGAGAGCCGACTGTGGTGTTTGAACGGTTGTCAACAACAGTAAGCAGACTGTTGGAGTCACCTTAAGTTACACAACACCACCTGAAGCCAAACTACAATGTTTAGTCTCATGGAAAGAGATGAAAGGACGACATTGTGTTGGAGGAAGGAGGTGTTACAAACCTCCTTCTTCTGCTCCTTCTAACAGTGGTGAATCTCACCTCCCATTGAAAATAGTACATAGTAGTTATCTTTAAAAAGGGGTTTTCATAAACATTACAACGAGAAGACAGGAAGGGGGTCGTAATAACGAATAAGAATGTATCATTTTCTTGTTTTAAGTGTTTTTTCTTCTTTTTGAAGGTTTCAGGCTGTTATTATTATTATTATTACTATTATTATTATTATTAGCACCAATGGGACATATTAATGGTTTGGTTGTTGTGTTGAACAAAACCCATGTTTTCTGAAACAGAACATGACAAGAACAAGACACTATACACACATTTTGTGTATGATGTGTGTGTGTGCGAGTGTGTGTTACTTCGTCTATCTAAGATGGCAGGGATACATTTTGGACAACAATCTACAGCAAAACTGTTCAGATTTGTGTGGGCCTAAATCCTTTGGATTTTGAGGATCTGAACAAACAACCTATTTATGACAAAGTTATGACAAAGCTTTGAGTGAACAGTGAAAACGGCCACAGTACGGTTCATACCTTTGTAGGAGAGCTTCATACGTGGTGAGGAAGAGGAAGAGGAGGAGGAGGAGGAGGAAGAAGGGGTTTGGGCCACAGTGCTGGAGGAAGCATGGGTAGCAGCCAGGCTCAGCAGAAACAGAGAGCTGCAGGTGACCATGGTCACGGCCATCATCATCATCATGGTCATCATCTCAGAATGATCAGAGCTGCTCTGACACTCCTGGAATTATTGGCAGATGTTCTTTTCTCGTACTGAAGAAGTCAGTCAAATGGCAGTGTGTGTATGTAACCAGTTTGGTTTCAGTGGTTTTTGTTGAGGATCAACTCAAACATCACCGGACCAAAACGAGTTTGTTCAGTTTGGACTCCTTCTTCAAACGCCTTGATCTAATCTTTATAATGTCCTCCTTGGTTTTTGTCGTTTCTTCGGCCGTTCCACTGCTCCTCAATCAGGGTCGACTGAGTTCACCTCTCACATTCAGAATGGAACAAAAACATCACACGTGGAAACCCTAAAAATAGAACAGAGAGGAAGAGGAGTTAGAAAGGTATGATAAACACTGAGGGTCAGGGATGCCCCTGGACACACACACACACACACACACAGAGTCTGAAGTATATTTAGACTGAGTCAGACTGATGCCCAGCCAGGCTGTGTGAATGGCTGCCCACACTGTGGCACCACCACTATAATCTCCTCACAGAGGGAGTCATTCAACAGACTTTATGGACACACTTGGACAAACAGACACGCAGGTGATGAAGACTGTATGCTACACACGCATGCCAGAAATGCACAACTGTTCAGAGGAGTTGCTCCGTCAACTAAGTGCAGTCTCTCGCCCCCCCTCCCCTCCCCCCGTCTCTCTCTGTCGCCGGACGTTGCCACCAGATTACATCTATTCAAGGCTCTGAATGATCGCATCAGTTCTCAACAGAAAGTTATTTGTCAGAGAGTCCAACAGCTCAGCGTGCAAAGGCAGTTTGGTTTTTAACCAATATTCAATATTGAATTACACCAGAATCCAGATTTAGTAAGACTCACATTTTCAGAAAATTTCAAAAGTATGAACTGTTTTCCTCAAAATGATGTCTTCTTAAAAGAAAATACAGAAAAAGCTCAATTTTATTTTGTTAATGTCTGTGAAACAACAAACAAACAAAAAAGTACTTTTTTGTACATAAACAAATTTCAACTCTAAACCCTAAAGTTGTAACATTACTACTTAACCTAACCATTGCCTTTTTTAGTAGCTTAACTGGTATCAGGCTTTAGTACAAAGATTTAGTAAAAAAAACGTTATACTTCACAAGCAAGACGTTTCTGTGGCTCACCACTTTGGGCTAATCCTTGTTTAAATGACTTCAATGTAAATGATAGAAACATGCAGTAATTTAGATGTCGGGATTATCAGTCTATACAGTAAAGAATCTCATGAAAACGTTCAGGAAGCTTCATCTGGACAATAAATCACTGTATGTAAAAACCTCATCTTGGAAATCACTACTGTGTTCCTGTGACCTTTGAACCTTTACCTGACACTGCGTGAGAAACTTTCATGATGCTAAGAAAGTTAGTCACATGATCTTGGATCAGAGTGTTCAACTGGCCTGACTGTAGTCCAGATCTGGCAGACTGACAGTCAGCAGACTTGGGGGAACATCTATCAATTCTTCTTTTCCAAGATGTGTTTTTCATGTAATGGATCAGTTGTTTATTTGTTGAACAAATGGAATCAGGTTGATTTTTTTCCTCTTTTTATTTGTTTAAGGTTTGGATTTAACTTTTAAAATGACAGGTTTTGTTTTTTTATTGGATTTTTAGGATTCCTCCTTTACTCTTTGGGTCCATCTAAACCTGGGATGGACTGCACTGTCTGTTTTTCTCACTGGTCTGAAACAGACAGCTGTTTTGGTGCCGTCTATCTTAGCATGTTCTCACTTTACAGAAAGGCAAACCTAATATTAACTGAGAACCCCAGTGACAGTTTTATTGGCTTCACAAAAATCCCCCAAACCTGGTGTCTCGGCTGACATAACCCGCAGCTCTGCCACAGTAGGAGCAGTAACGAGGCCACTGGTTTATAAGCCCTTATGTATATGAACATTATGTCGTAAAAACTACGTGCACGGGGCACATGCTCTTTTTTTCAGTACTTCCAAGCCTGTGGTCAGCTGGAACAATAAAGTCTTTGAGTGGAAACAGTCTCCTTTATTGTATTACACCTCACAGTTGGTGCTCGCTAACAGACAGGCAGTCTGTTTTTCTTCTAGTCCACTTAATGCACTTTCTTTTGCCCCATCGAACAATTCCCCCTATCAATCTCCAAAACTGAGGTGTTTCTTTGAATTCTTACCTGACCTCACCAGTCATTCAGTCCAAGACCTGTAACTGTATCTTAGGACCTGAGCCAACTGAGTTTAAAGAACAATAGTTTTCTGACATTCCATTGGTATTAAAGCTATAATATTCAGTTACAAAATAAACCCAATATTCAGTTTAAATACCCTCCAAGCATCTATATGTATTTTATTGGTTTACATTTGTTGCAAGTCACTGGAAAATCCTCTAAATGAAATAAATACCTGTGCAAAATAGTCCCTGAACATTGCAGTAATTTAACTTACAAAGTTCTGATCTGCTGGTCGAACCAAAGTATAGCTTAGGCTGTTAGCAGGGTTAGCCTGGCCTCGTCCTAAATGAAGACAATTAAATTTAAACTAGCACTGCCATTAGCCACTGCTAACATGACACTAATGTGAGATGTGCTCTCCCTAAAACACAACCAACACGCTACGTGTGATCAGCAAACATCGTAGCTGTCAACTGGTTCACCTCCAAAAAAATATAAAAATAAATGTGTAACAGCTAAGGGTGAAGCTCTTACCAAACTCAGTACACAGCTATTCCAACATTAGAGGGTCAAATACAAAGGCGCCAACATATAATGTTTTTTTTTTTTTCTTAAGATACATTAGAGATGCTGGTTTCCAGAGTCCAGGCTTTTTCCTGGAATTGTCCGCAAATGTCTATAAACCAGTCCCCGTGTCAAATTTCCAATAAAATAAATAAGTGCACTTAAATCACAACAGGGGAAAACTCTGGAAATCTCCACAGCAAATGAGTTTTTCTGCTTCCTGTCTGCTGGACCCACATGCAACTCTCACCTGAGTTCTCAGGAAAAGTCACTGTGGCATCTGACCTCCATAATCCCCCGCCCTGGTCTTCACATGTGAACGGCATTAGTGTCAGAAAGTGGCTGAGACTGTATTTTGTGCTGACTTTTTTGAGATGGTAAAACTCACATTTGTGAATATGCAAAAGACAGTATCTCCTCCTGGATTTGATTCGTTGGATCGGTGATGGGTGGTGAAATGTGTGGTTTGAGGAACTCCTCCAATTCTGCCCTCTGTGGTCGATGGGGATTTAGGGCAATGTAGTTTTTATGTGGTTTTTGAAACAATGCCCGATTTTCTGTGAAATCCTTCATAATTTGCCTCGTTGTTGTTAAGCTGGCAGTATCTGAGGATCACCCTCAGCTTTTCTGCTTCAAAACCACAGCCATCGCTTTAACATGCATGCAGATTGAAATGCACATACATTAAGATATATAGACAATCTCTGCATTTACTGATCAGACTGTTGGCAGAACGGGGGGCGGGGGGGCAGGATGGGGTTATAAATAATGGAGGTATTGAAGCGTGGAGACAGGAAAGCTCTCATAGGCTCAGGAGTCACAATACAGCGGAACAGTGCTGAACCAGAACATAAACGCCTGCAAACGCTGCATTATATAAACACACACGCACACACACACATACACACTCAAGCACAGACAAGGGTACAATTGCTGGCCTTGAAAGGAACATGTCCTGCATCCAGTGCTGCAACTGACTTTTTCACAGACCCACAAAGAAGTGTTGTGTTGATTGGGCGAGATACTCTTACAGCCCTGGTCAACTAAAATAAACCAAATCCCACTGGAGAAATGGTGAAATGAGTGTAGTTTTATTGTGGTTTTATGTGTCGTGCACAACGTTTTGCACACTGTGCACGGGGAGGTGGGCTGAACAAACTGCAGTATATCACACACACGTGACGTCAGTGCTGTCATCAGCTGCAGCTCTGCGACACACAAGCACAAACACACAAGTGCACAGTTGACGTCACAGTCAGCGGGAGTGACCGAGGCAGCAGGGAAGTTTTAACACGGCTCTCTATAAAAGGGAGGACTGTCCCTCTGTCCCGCTGTCCCTCTGAGTCATCATGGGTGGGAGTGTGTCTCTAGCTACACTTGAGGGGACTGCCTTTGAAAACAACTATTGTTGTGGGGACACTGTGTCCTTGTAGGGACGTTTCGCAGGTCTTCACTGAGCAGGGGGTATTTTGATGTCCAAGACTTAGTTTAGGAGTTAAGATTGGAATTCAAGTCAGAGTTAGGGTAAGGATTGGGTATAAGCATATTTTTCTGCATATGTATTATGCATTATGGACACGTGTATGATTTCGAATTCAGCCTTTAAGACCTGAAGCCCCTGAACTTATAACACAGGACCATGGAAGAACACACATTCCCATTAACTTGTTTCTCACTCACACACATACACACACAAACTCTTTCAAACTCGCGCTTGATCCATAATGCAGCTCAATAAAAACGCCGTCAGACTCACTGACACTTTCAGTTCAGCATCAATGGACACAGAGCAGCGTCATGCCAAGAGGGAGTGGATTAAAAGGAAAAAGAAAGGATAGAGATGAGGCGGGGGAGATAAAGTAAGAGAGAGAGTGGGGGGAGGATGAGCCGTGCAGTCATAAACCACCCTAAATAAAGGCTTTAATGAAATACACTAAAAAAGTTTATAATCAGTTCAGTTAAACTGTGGCCATATGGTTCTGTTGTTATTAACCTAAAAGTACTGACAGGAAGAACACGGGCTAGGACAGACAGACTGCTGGACGGTGACTCTGTCTTAGCTCCTCCTTATGTTCCCACGCATTATGACAAGTACAATGTCGTATTCCCTGTGAATGGAGCGAACAGTGTATTGAGATATAATGTAAGAACAAGAGGTAGAGAGGTGAAACACCAAAGTGGGCAAGAAGGAAAAAAGTTCATACTCACAAAGAATATCAAGGCAAACAAGGAATTTGGAGGAAGAAAAGAGGAGAACGAGTTGAGAGGTTGATGAAGACTACAACATTGTACCACTCCAGCCAGAGAGGGGGAGGGAGGGAGAAGAAAATGAGCAAGGCAGGAGTTGATCAGGAAAGAAGGAGTGAATAGTTTTGCCCATAGGGTTTAAAGACTTGACCTTGGCCTGCAGCCAACAACTGTAAGCCTCCCTGCTATGGAGAAATTAAATGGGAACAACAGATAAAGGTATGATGATTAAGAATAAGTCAGAGGGGGTCGGAGAGACACAGAGGGGGGCAGGAGGGGAGCTCTTAGAGTTCCCCTAAAAGTCAGACCATAAAAAGGAGTTCGCAGGTGCCTTTGCGTCAACTTGT